GTCCCCTAGGTGAGCACCCCATCCGGGGTCTGACGCATCCATCCCAAGCGTCAGGTATGGCTGTTGTGCAGCAAAGGGGATGCCTTCGCAAACCACGGTCTGGGACAGCCACCACAGCAGGGAGTCTAATACGTCCCCCGGGGCAGTCACTACCAAGTCCAGGGGGTCCCTGCCTGGGAGATATACACGGGCGAGCCAAGCCTGCAGCGTTCTGAGTTTCAGTCTGGCATGCTTGACCACATGCGTGTATGCTGCCATGTGGCCCAGCAGCCTCAGGCAGCATCTGGCCGTTGTAGTGGGAAACTGGCACAGGGAGTTCACTGCTTGCTGGATGGCCAGGAATCGTGATACTGGGAGGCTCGCCTTTGCCTGTACCGCATCTAGGACCGCCCCTATGAATTCCGCTCTCTGCGTTGGAATGAGGGTGGACTTGGGGATGTTGACCAGGAGCCCCAGTGTGCGGATTAGTATCAGGACCACTTGCACGTGGGACCGAACCTCCTCTTCGGACTGGCCCGCCAGGACCCAGTCGTCGAGGTACGGGTAAACTTGGACCCTCTGCCTCCGTAGGAAGGCCGCCACTACCGCCATGCATTTTGTGATCACCCAGCTAGGCCAAATGGGAGAACCGTGAACTGGTAATGTTCTTGGTTCACAGCAAAGCGCAGGAATTGGCGATGTGCCAGGTGGATGGCGATATGAAAGTACGCGTCCTTCATGTCGAGGGCAGCGTACCAGTCCCCCAGATCCACGGAAGGGATGATGGTGCCCAGAGAGACCATGCAGAACCAGGCCTTGACCAGGAACTTGTTGAGCCCTCGCAGGTCCAGAATGGGTCAAAGGCCTCCTTTGGCCTTAGAATGAGGAAGTAGCGGGAATAGAACCCTTTCCCTCTTAGGTCCTTCAGTACCAACTTTACCGCCCCCGCCTCTAGGAGCGTGCGAACCAACTCTTCCATGAGGTGCTTGTGAGAAGGGTCCCTGAAGAGGGACGGGGAAGGGGGGGGGGTGGGTAGGCAGGGAGGAGAACTGCAGCATGTAACCGCCTCGCACCGTGCGTAACACCCAACGGTCCGACGTAATGCTGGACCACACACGGGAGAAGTGGGACAGGCGATTCAGGAAACAAGAGGATGGATCCGGTGATTGGTCTGGTACGCTGTCCTCGAGCGCACCTTCAAAAGCCGGGTTTAGGGCCGGGCTGAGAGACTTATGCTGGCCTTGGCTCTGGCCCGGCCTATTGGAGCTATTGTTGTTATTATTACGCCGCCTCCTGTTATCCCCATTTCGCCTGCGGTAGGGCTCCTGCTTAGGACGAGGTTGGTAGTGACACTGAGGAGGAGGCTGCGGCTTGAAGGGCTTTCTTTGGGTTGCCGGGGTGTGCATACCCAGCGACTTGAGTGTGGCCCTCAAGTCCTTGAGGCTATGCAGCTATGCATCCGTCTGGTCCGAAAAGAGCCCAGACCCTTCGAAAAGAGCCCATCCCGACGGGTACCGCTAAGGGAAAAGTTTCCAACGCTCGTGCACGCGGCACGCACACACCTAATGTGGAATGGACGTGAACAAGCACTTGAGGAAGAACCTAAAATATAACAAAGGTGTCCATATTTCTAATGAGCAGAGTGGCTGGAAGTGAAAATATGTGACCAGACTTAATAGGATACCTTTCCTAAGTCTAATTTAGCCAGCTGAACACACGTTCACATGAGATGAGTGCTGGACATCAGCAGAAGTAAAAAGCATGAAGGAAAGGAGAAAATAGGCAGTTTCACCACAAAAACACTTGCACATCTTTATCACCTGCCAGCATGAATGAGAATCTGCCAACATGAGTACTGCCATCAAAAAACAGCATCAGAACATCTGAATTATAATTCAGGGCTGAAATAGCTATCGCAAAGTCAAAACCCACATAATTTTCTCTCTTAAAAATGTGTTTAAATTGTATGTCTGCACGTGCGTGCACACGCGTGTGCACACACACCTCCCCTCCCCCATTTTTCTTCACATTAGTTACACAAAATGCTTTTCACCAGTTTGGTGAATGGTTATATTTAACCAAGTCATAGTAATCCATTTCACTCAATATACATAATCATAAATAGGACATAATGACACACGACTGGGATTTTTTTTCATTTTATATATGTAATTTTTTCCATATGATAACATGAACATATAACCTATATTTTCCTTAAAACAGATATGTTTCTATAGAAAGGTGTTTCACATCACATGATCAACACACAATGGAGTTGTTTTCTTGAAAAAGCTAGGATACAATATATACAATGTAGTTTATTTCTGCATATGAGGCAAACTGATAAATTATGGATAGCCTTTAGCGGGATAAAGTAATATGTGTACACTAAAAAAATCTCAGTGACTTGTAAGGTAGCTTTTCCCACTAATGAATTAGCATAAAGATTTGATGAGATCTAGGAATGCCGCCTCTAAATCATACAGTAATTTCATTCCTATACTCTGCAATGGTTATGGGGTATATTGTACAAGAGGAAGAACTGAACACACTGAACGCAAGGTTCAATGTAATGGTTTAGGATCTGTGTACATTTAGAATTTCATGCACTTTTCATGTATAAACTAAAGGGGAATAATGTACAAAACCTGAATAAATCAGGAGTTGCAACTGTTATCATGCAGGTAGCTCCAGCTCAGTTAAATGAACCAATTAAAAATTAAGCAATTGAATTCTTCAGTGGGACTATTTGTGCAAAGGAGAGTTGCAGAACCTGGCCCTAGATTGTTTAAAATATTCAACTCGGTATTTAAAAAAACCCTCAATGCAACCAACACCCCACTGCCAAAAACAAATCCATTCTCATCAGATATTCTAAACACAAACTGCCCATTTTTGCTAACCTTGAAGCAAATACTTATCTCCACAAAATATTTGTTCACTGCATAAAAGCAAGTTCCTGTTTGGAGCAGGCACTGTTATGACCAGTGGCTGCCAGGATCACTGTCTGATCTGCAACATATTTCAGTAAGTCCTTTATAGTGTGACCATTCTGATTTAAAAAGAAAGTATTATTATATATAGTACACCAGAGCAGATGATACTAAGCACTATATTTCAGGATACTGGCTGCATAGAATGTGGCCCTTAAAAACTTGCCCATTTTATTCAAAACAAATAGATAGGTTTACCTGCAGTATCTTGCAAAATTATCCTTTTGTACTTCTCTATACCAACTGTAAGATAACCTCAGAATGTTCAGTATTTCGGTGTATCTGACTACTAATATGTAGCTATCTAAGCCAAATGGCATGTTTTAAAGGGCTTGCAGTGTATAATGTTTGCCTGCAGTAGCAGGGTACTGGACTCAATGACCCAAAAAGTCCCTTCCTATGTCTTATGTTCATATATTAGTCAAAATATATCAGACCAATAAAAAATTTGTACAGATATTAAAGTGAATTAAAAATATGAATACAAAATGCCTGAGCCTGCTGGGTCACTGTGAACCGGAGACCATCACAGTGACCTTGGGCAAGTCACTGCCTCTATGCCTAAGCTTTCCCATCTGTAAAATAGGAATAATGAAACTGGCCTCCTTTGTAAAGTGCTTTCAGATCTACTGAAAAGTGCTGTATACGTGCTAGGAATTATTATTAAGCCATGTAATATGCAAAAAAAACAAGGAGTCCTTGTGGCACGTTAGAGACTAACAAATTTATTTAGGTATAAGCTTTCGTGGGCTAGAACCCACTTCATCAGATGTATGAAGTAGAAGATACAGTAGCAGGTATAAATACATGAAAGGATGTGGGGTGCTTTACCAAGTGTTAAATCAGTCTAATGAGATAATTCAATTAACAGTAGGATACCAAGGGAGGAAAAATAACTTTCGAAGTGGTAAGAGAGTTGCCCATTACAGACAATTGACAAGAAGGTCTGAGGAACAGTAGGGAGAAATTAGTATTGGGAAAATTAAGTTTAGGTTTTGTAATGACCCAACCACTCCCAGTCTTTATTCAGGCCTAATCTGATGGTATCTAGTTTGCAAATTAATTCCAGCTCTGCAGCTTCACGCTGGAGTCTGTTTTTGAAGTTTTTGTTGTTGAAGAATTGCCACTTTGAGGTCTGTTATTGAGTGACCAGAGAGACTGAAGTGTTCTCCTACTGGTTTTTGAATGTTATGATTCCTGATGTCAGATCTGTGTCCATTTATTCTTTTGCGCAGAGACTGTCCGGTTTGGCCAATGTATACGGCAGAGGGGCATTGCTGACACATGATGGCATATATCACATTGGTAGATGTGCAGGTGAACGAGCCCCGGATGGTGTGGCTGATGTGGTTAGGTCCTATGATGGTGTCCCTTGAATAGATATGTGGACAGAGTTGGCACCGGGGTTTGTAGCAGAGTTTAGTTCCTGGGTTGGTGTTTTTGTTGTGTGGTGTGTAGTTGCTGGTGAGTATTTGCTTCAGGTTGGGGGGCTGTCTGTAAGCAAGGTCTGGCCTGTCTCCGAAGGTCTGTGAGAGTGAGGGATTGTCCTTCAGGATAGGTTGTAGATCCTTGATACCATCAGATTAGGCCTGAATAAAGACTGGGAGTGTTTGGGTCATTACAAAACCTAAACTTAATTTCCCCAATACTAATTTCTCTTTACTGTTATTCATACCTTCTTGTCAACTGTTTGTAATGGGCCACTCTCTTACCACTTCAAAAGTTATTTCTCCTCCCTTGGTATTCTGCTGTTAATTGATTTATCTCATTAGACTGACTTAACACCCCACATCCTTTCATGTATTTATACCTGCTATTGTATCTTCTACTTCATACATCTGATGAAGTGGGTTCTAGCTCACGAACGCTTATGCCCAAATAAATTTGTTAGTCTCTAAGGTGCCACAAGGACTCCTCCGTTTTTTTGCTAATACAGACTAACACGGCTATCACTGAAACCTGTCACCACGTAATATGGTTTCTCTTGTAGAGCAAATAATGTGTCTTATATACAACTTTAGTACTTACGGGTAAAATGATTAGAAGTGGATGGATTGACACTATCACCACTGTCCGCACTTTCACTGCTAGAAATGTCATCATCAGATTCCCGCACAGAGGAGCAGGGTGAGGAGCCATCAACTTCTTCAAATTTCCTCTTTAAAATTCCACTCATAGCTGCAACGCTGTCACATGTACCTGTAACAGGAACAAGAGCAATGAAGCATTGAAAAATTTGACCACTGACCATACAATCAAGGTCTACAATGTAATTTTATGGGGATTTTTATACACAAGATAGACTATCACTTTTGTTCCTGAATGACTGTTTATTGGGATGTATTGTATACGTTATAGGAAAGTAAAAAGAAAGAAACACAAAACCAAACCCAGTAGTAATTTGCTATTCATCAAGAAGAGGTACAACAGATTGCTCTTCATGATGAGAGGTATCTTTTGTTACAACATTTACCCCCTTTATGGAAAGCACTAAAATCTAATTTGAAAACAGGCTGTTCTCAGGCCAACAGAGATACACGGAAATGCGAAAGCATCTCATTAAGGGCCTGATCCTCAGGTGTTGAGCACCCTAAATGTCCACTGATTTTAGTACCTTTTAGGATTGGGCCTTGAGTTTCTCTTCAGAATTCCTCAGGCTGACTGAATGAGTGGCCTTGACAGGCTCTGGAGGGAGATGCCGCTAGCCTCTCTCAACAGAGAGAAGTTCACTGCAGCACAGGGCAAAGGGATTCAAAAGGGAGGAAATAGTATTTAGCACTCATGTTCTCAAAGTGGTCTACATAAATTAACTAATTAATCAATTCTCACATTGCTCCTGTGTGATACAGTTGAGAAATGACAATTATTGCCATTTTACAGGGCGGTTCAATGCCTTTCCAAAGGCTATTTAACAAATCAGTAGCTAAGTCAGATTTAGGATTCAGGAATTCCTTGCTCCCAGTCACTTACACTAATCACTAAAGAATACGGTGTTATTTTTCATAGGACATACCTCACCTTTCCACATGGTAAGAAATGGTGGGAAGCCTAATACGTTCCAGTCTCATGAGATAAGATTTTGTACAGAAAACCAGGAAGTTAACTAGTCACATAATAATTTTAACAGGTATTATAAAATGAATCATTTTAAGGGAAAGTCTGCCCTGGCTCCCATGTTGTACAGTTGGAGGTGGGAGAGGCAAGGATACCCAGAGTTTGCTCAGAGGACATGTGCCCTTTGCATACCAACAGGACTGGACTTTGCCATATAAACAAATAATCCTTTTTGAATAGAGTTTTCACATAAACTATGAGGACAAGCAGTTTTTAGGTTTATTCAAAAAATTAAGGGAAAAAAAACACATTCCTCCAGTTTAAAAGAAGGTAGTGGGGGCAAGACATCAGTACAGCACGTCAGCTTTGTAACCACTAAGGCTTTGATCCTATAGTGTGCTGCACTTGAGTAGACCCCCTACACCTGTACAGAACCCACTGACTTCAATGGCACTCCACACATCTGCAGTACATTGCAGGAACAGGGCCCGTGAATCCAATTTCAATGAACCAAAGTGACAAAATAGAGAGTTAGACCTGCTTCTCTGCTCTGCCTTGCTTCAAAGCATTGCACAAAGCCAACACCTAGGAATGAGTTATAGATAAATTTTAGCACAGCAGCTCTACATAACCTTGCCTTTATAAGTGTAAAGTAGAAACTATAGACATGGACATTATTTTATGATGAGTTTTTTTTGTTTTCTGCTTTATTTAACGGTAAGAATTAGGATTTGCTATAATGGATTGTTTGCCTATTAAGGCTTGGTCTACACTATAGTCAGGTCGATGTAAGCTGCCTTACATCTACCTAATAATGCATGTGTCTTCACTACCAGGCCCCTTCCACCAATGTAACTCGCCTGCTACGTTGACTTAATTATTCCACCTCCACAAGAGGCAGAGTGCTTAATTCGATGTTGTCAGGTCAACACAGAGGCAGTGTACACACTGTATTGCTTACATCAACTTAACTGGCCTCCAGGAGGTTTCTCACAAAGCTCCACTATGACCATGCTGGTAAATGTTTTCAACTCCACTGCACAGCAGCCAGGTACAGTAACTCCTCACTTAACATTGTAGTTATGTTCCTGAAAAATGCGACTTTAAGCGAAACGATGTTAAACAAATCCAATTTCCCCATAAGAATTAATGTAAATAAGGGTGTTAGCTTCCAGGGAAATTTTTTTCACCAGACAAAAGACCATATTATACACACACACACACACACACACACACACACACACACACACACACAGTATAAGTTTTAAACAAACAATTTAATACTGGCACACAGCGATGATGATTGTGAAGCTTGGTTGAGGTGGAGGAGTAAGAGGGTGGGATATTTCGCTTACTGCTAAATGATGAACTAGCAATTGGCTGAGCCCTCAAGGGTTAATTCTCTCACTCTACAAGTCAGCAGGAATGGAGGGAGGGAGTATGTGTGAGAGGGAGATGTGCATTTTCCTTTTTAAGTACACTGCCTTGTTAATTAGATCAGCTTGCTGAGACCAGCTTCTGCAAGCGCCCTCCGTCCTGAGCCCTGGTGTGTCCCCCCC